AGAAGGCTTGACAGCAGGCGAGAGCCTGGACAAACATCTTCCACGCCTCCATTGGCCGAAGTGTTGCCATTAAATATACCCCTGCCAGAAAGAAACATTGCGCTTCCAACACACCTGTCCGGCAGAGGAGATGGCCCATCCTTTTCTGGGCTGCAGAGAAGTACGACTCAGACTGCTTGAACTGCGGGGACGAGCGAAATGACGAGGCATCTTGCTGTTGTCCACCGTCAAATGGCCCAACAATCGAGCCGTGAGCATATATCAGGAGCTACACGACAGTCAGCGACCTCGGCGAGAAGATTGTGAAAGATGCCATCTCACCAGTAGGCACGACTGTGCGTCCCATCCGATGCCGTTGAAGCGGGCATCACGCATATACCGGTGAATTTTGGCTTCCTCCAAGACCGGATTGTAAATGAAGACATTGCTCATGAACCTTGCCACCAGCTCCTCTTCAGCGACATGCTCGTCAAATTCCGGTACGATTGACAGGTTCTGTAAGGCGCCATGGCTGGAATTGAGGAGACCTTTCAGGTCCAGGTTGGGACTAACATCATCAAAGACTGACCACGATAAGACTCCTTCGATGTTCATGTGACAGGGGGCGGCATCCTTGGATCTTTCGAGACTGGGTGAATTCAGCGACTTTAGCCGAGACAGGACTCCACGGCTGGGGCTGTCAGCTGCGTTACTGGGGGCTGCTGGGGCGATCTGAGTCCGGGCACTGGACGACTTCAACAGCTCCTCGATGGTGTTCAACTTGTCCAAAATTGCCAGGCTCGCGGAATCGAAGCTGCCACGGTCAGAAGAGGGTCGTTACCAGGTAGCACGTCCGAAGATGTGCCGCCACACAGACATACGTAGAATGGTCTCCTTCGCTATATGTGCACTCGGCGCCGATCGACAGGCAGGAGGAACAGGTTGGACGAGCATTATTACATTTTGTTCGACGGACCCTGCACTTCTGACAGGCTTGGATGGCTCTCTTTCGCGGATACGAGGACTTTATCCGCGTGGCAGGACGCTTCCGCGAGTCGTTCAGGACATTTTCAGCCTCCATTGTGCCGATGAAAGAGCCATGTTGCTGGATGGTTGCCGGCAAATGGCCAGTATGGAGAGACGAGGAATCATAAGCAGGCTCGTTATAATGGAGAATGTTGCGGAGCGAGCTTTCCATTTGCATTGCCGATATCAGGAGTGAGCTTTCTACTCCACCGGGACAACTGGGGTTTGAAGATCTGGGGAAGTGATACTGGTTTCTGGAGAGGGAGGGATGAGAAGTTGGAAGAGCGGAATGCCGGGGAGTGATAAAGACCAGTCAGCGGAGTGCTGGAGGAGAAGCTGCTTGAGCTGGACTGGCAAACTGGTTTCGTTGCGGGGAGATGAAAAGCCCCTACGGGCCCTAGCAATGCCTAAGTTATCCACCAGGGATACCCAAGCCGGACGATGGGGGAGACCTAAATAGGCTTTGATAGGTGATAGGCCAACCCATTAACCAAGACCTTGGGAAGGTTGGGAGGCTCGGAAAGGGCCACGTTTGTAACTGCGCCCAGCCCTTCTAGAAGCCCGTAGCTGCGCTCTGACTTTCGCTTTGACCAGCCGAAAACCCTTTTGCCTCACCGCATGAGGAAATAATACGACGTCTGTCACAATACATATGAAAAGGCGCAATCAATAAGCAAGTCGACTTTACACACAGTATCAACCGCTACCCCAGACCCTGGCTTGTGTGGGTGTGTGATTGCAACACCACTTTACCCCTCTGAGCTGTCATTCGTCTCAACCAACGGGTCGAGTCATGCCACAAGGATCATCTTCGGGTCCAGCGGGGTAGAGCCATCACCATCATGCCGTGCCCGTCGCCTCCTTCGATGCTACCCAAAACCCGGTGCCAGCCTCCCCCTCCGCAGGCAGCTTTTTGTCCCATGAGAACATCTGCGGAATCCCGGGATGCACGAAATCGACCTCAACGGCGCACGGGAATGCTTGAAGGATGAATCTGGGGTTGGATAGGACTTCCAGAACATGCATCGTGATCCAAACCTGGATCTCACAAAGCATGGAGACAATACATAAAGCCCACGGTCCCCTCTGCCATTGAGGTCGGACATTCTGCGATAAGGTGGCAACTTCTCTCGGGACTCACCCATCACCATCTTCATTGACAACTGGGCGAACCTCAAAGTCCCCAAACATGGAGAAAGTCAATATCGACGACCATCACGATGGCAAGGCTATCGATTCGATCGTTGAACATGTCCCTCCAAAGGTCGAACAAGCTCGAGCAGCCGCTGAAGAAGAACACAATCTCTCAGCTTGGGAGGCCCTTTCGAAGCACAGGACCGTTGTCTTCTGGTGCGTGTTTTTTGCCTTCAGTTGCATTGGCTGGTAAGTGACATTGGCACCTCAAGTGGCTACTCGTCCAAGGACTGACCGACTTTTGACCAGGGGATTCGATGCACAGGTCAATGGTGCCATGATCTCAGTGCCCCAGTTTCGGTATACATTCGGGTAAGCCTGCAGTGGCCCGCCTAGAGAACGTTTGTTCTTGCGATCCGTTCACAGGTTAACTTTTGGGACAGCTACATCTACAAAGGGGACCCGGTGATCCCTGCTAGCTGGCAGAGCGGTTTCAACAGCATCTCCAGCGTCGGTCAATTTTTTGGTGGCTTCATGTGCTCATGGATCTCCGACCGCATCGGCCGTCGTTACTCGCTCCTCGTGGGGCTGCTATTTGTCACTGGGGGGATATTCGGCGAGGTCTTCTCGAGCACCCGACCAGCTTTCCTCATCGGCAAGTTGATCCTTGGGATTGGCCTTGGGTTCTATCTTACCATCGGTCCCCTCTACTGCTCTGAGGTGGCGCCGGTCGTTCTTCGTGGTATAATCACCGGTGGCATCAACTTTGCCATTGTCATTGGCCAGCTCCTGTCCAATGCCGTTATCAAAGGATTTGGGGACAGGCCTGATCGCTGGGCTTTTCGAGGGCCTTTTGCCATTCAATGGTTGTTTGTTGGTAAGATTACTCATCCCCCTATCTTGCCGCAAACGTCCCACGTCTGACAGGTCTATCCAGCCATTCTTCTCGTCGGACTCCCATTTGCCCCCGAGTCTCCGTGGTACTACGTTCGCCGTGGTCGCATAGACGATGCTCGCCATGCGCTGGAGCGTCTGCACGGCAAAGATGTCGACGTCGCACCGAAGCTGGCCATGATTATTCGCACCGTCGAGGAGGACGCCGAGTTGACCAAGTCTGCAAGATGGGATCAATGCTTCCGTGGCACCAACCTCGTGCGCACCACCATCTCAGTGGGTGCCTTTGCTTGCCAACACCTCTCTGGTATTGTCTTTGTGTTGGGATTCTCGACCTACTTCTTCGAGCTTGCGGGTATCCAGACCAAGGACGCTTTCAACCTCGGCGTTGGCGTCACGGCCTGTGGTGTGGTTGGCGTCATGATCTCGTGGGCTGCCATCAACACTCTGGGTCGGAGAAAGCTGTTCGTCTGGGGTATGATTGGTATGACTGTTGTCCTCATGTTAATGGGCATTCTCGACGTCGTCCACACTTCGGCTGCTCGCTGGGTCCAGGCATCCTGCACAGTTGTCTATGCTCTTATCTACCAGATCACAATCGGCTGCATTGCGTTCGCCCTGCTCGGTGAGGTCTCCACCCCCTCACTTCGAGCGAAGACGGTCGGTCTGGCCACCGCATGTCAAGCTGTGTTTGGCACGGTGATGAACATTGTGGTCCCTTACATGGTCAACCCAGACAAGGCCAATTTGAAGGGCAAAGTCGGCTTTGTCTTTGGTGGAGCCTGCCTTTTGGGCACTTTATGGAGCTACTTCTACGTACCTGAGCTGAAAGGCCGTACATTTCAGGAGATTGATTATTTGTTCCAGCACCGAGTGCCCCCCAGGAAAATGGGCCAGTACAACCTTGAGGAAGTCAATGATGTTATATGAGCACCGCATGCACGACTGGGTTTGGGGAGACGTGGGACATGATATACTGCGAGCTGGATCTATATAGTAAGACAGGGCACGGACTACAAGCAAGAGAGGGAATCAAGGCAGAATACCTTTTATCAACGCGTACAGGTGCGACCATCCTAGCCTCCATCTATTCCTGAAGATCGGAACTAGTTCGACCTGCCGGGGTTGCGGGATGTTTCCGTTTACTCCTCCACGGCTGTGAACGAGGACCATCCGGAATACGGGCCATAAAAAAGCAGCAAGACATCGAACTAGGATATATCAGCTCGCCATCCTCTCCCCAGACCACTAGGAGTCGTTCGGTCTTCCTGCCCAGACAACTCTAAAGTCACCACGGCATCAAAGGTATCGAGTAAGTATGTTGCAAGTCAACAGAAGGACAGCCAGCAACAAGATACACAAGCACAGCCAATGATAAGACAACGACAACAGATGGATACCACGCCAAAAAGACCCAGATGATTAGAATATAGCAAAAGAAACAGATTGTCAGTAAGGTACGACACCAACATGACCCGCGATCTTGTGATTTGACTCTGGCCCCTTACACCTATCCATGCTTTATATTCCTGGGGATGCGCGCAACGTATGCTGTATCAAGGTGGTGAGTGGACTCAAACACTAGCCCAACAGTTTCTGCTTACAAGCGCTCTTTCGCCGGCTTACGCACACCCAGAGCAGATCTCCCAGTCCCACTCAGGAAGCGGCTTGCGCCCGCTTACGAGCTGGCTTGGCCCAAATATATATATCTGGTTACATACTGCTGGGGGGCCGATACTCAGATCCTGACTTTGCCATTACCATGTCCGAATCCAGATCGAACGCTATTTTCAGACGGGTATCTGGAAAGGGATAACGCTTGATGTCATATAAAGAAAGGTAAGAAGGGCTCGCCCTTATGACATGGAATTTCCCCGTGCAGCGTGGAAACGTTTTCTTCACAAAGGCAGCAGATATTCGATTTCACCAGACTCCAACCGCGCGTGAGTTGTTGGTCCTGACATACAATGGCACAATCGGCTACGGCTACTCCTCCTTCTGCTTCTGTCGATATGGCTGCTGATCCTAGTGCCGATCCTGGTGGTCCTGGTGGTTTTGGCGGTGCTGGCGGTGGTCCTGCCGCTTCTGGACCACCCGGCCCTACTGGTATCGATCTTACTTCTGCCTCTGTTTCTGATGTTGGTGGTCCCGGCGGTGGTCCCGGTGCCTCCGGTCCCAACGGCATCGATCTCACTTCCGCCTCCGCTTCCGATCTCGGTGGTTTTGGCGCTTCTGGTCCAATTGGTGGTACTGGCTATGGTCAGGGTGATGAGGACGAATACGGCGACGAGGACGAATACGGCGAAGAAGAAGAATACGGCGAAGAGGAAGAATACGGCGGTGGAGGTGGCTACGGCGGTGCAGGTGGCTACGGCAGTGCAGGTGGTGAAGGTGGCTACGGTGAAGCTGGCTACGGCGATGAGGACGAATACGGCGATGACGACGAATACGGCGCTCAGGCCGGCGGTGGCACTCAGGGTGGCTATGGTGCTCCGGCCAGCGGTGGCGCTCCGGGCAGTGGTGGCACTCAGGGCAGCTACGGCGCTCCAGGAAGCGGTGGCACTCCGGCCAGTGGTGGCACTCAGGCCGGCGGTGGCCCTCAGGGTGGCCAAGGAGCTCAGGGCAGCGGTGGCCCTCAGGGCAGTGGTGGCACTCAGGCTGGCGGTGGCGCTCAGGCCGGCGGTCACGCCCCTATCGATTCGCATTACTATGAGGTGCACGGCCCGGCATCAGCATTTGCTGCTGAATTCGATCCTCACATTTGTTCTTATGAGGATCTGTGGCATACATTCGAGCCCACCATGGTGCAGGCCAACGCTCAACATGGGGGGGAGCAATATGTGTCCTTGGTGAGTACAACCAGCCTCGGCATGATTCCATCTACGAGCGGGTGAATCGCTCAGAAGATTGCGGCCGGACATGACATGTGTTTCGGGGCTTCGTTGCTGACTTTGTCGTCAGATTGACCAGGCAATTCAGGAGGTCAGCCAAAAGACCGGCGTCGAGTCATATCTCCTGTTATGTGTCATCATGCAAGAAAGTACGGGGAATTTATTCGTCCAGGTAAGTTTCTTCCATGGAAACCATATGTGGGAACCGAGTCCGACTTTGACTGACCATGTGGCGCGCTGGCATAGACTACCTACGACGCAGACCACGAGCCAACGGGAGGACTTATGCAAACTTCAGGTTGCCAGGGTTTGGCTGCATCGGTAAGCTTTCTCTTTCCGCCTAACCTGTCCCGAAATCCTTGGGAGAAGGAGACGTCTCCCATGCAACACACTGTGTTTGATATCGTCATGACCGAGCTGACGGGATCCCGCGCCTTTTGCGCTCTTTCTCCCGGGCTTCATTTAGACAACAGCACCCACGTTAGAGGATGTCGTCGGCATGCTCGAAATGGGCGCCACTCACCTCCAGGGGTGCTTGACGCAGCAGCACGGCGACATCTATGAGGCCCTACGGGTGTACAACTCGGGGAGCATCGCCGCTAGCGGCGATCTGGGCGACCCTGCAAGTGTTGGCACGCCGGATTATGTCTGCGACGTGGCAAACCGTACACGTAAGTGGTTGTTCCTTGTTGTCGGGCCTGCGTTGGGAAATATTGCACGAGGGACTTGGTCCTTTTTTGTTTTCTCACTAACTTTTTCGTGGCTGTAGATGGCTGGATCAGTGGCGGCAAATCCACGTAGCCTGGTCTGGCTTGAATCGGGGAAAAGGAAGGGGGGGAGGAGGATCGAGACCACGGGAAAGAGTTGCAGGGGAGAAGAGAGGTAATGGTATCTGGAATCAAGTGCATGAGTCGGTTGGAGATTTCACCATCACATTTTGTATGTCTTCTTTGGAGCGCGGCGTTGAGTGGTTACTACATAGAGCTGCAAGGAAAGTACCGAGTTCATATCATCATTTCCACGCAACACGGTCAGGGGAAGAGTGGTGTAGTCTCACTTCTGCGATCCTCTTCCATAAGTCTGTGTCTTTCGTCGAGTGGGACAAAGTAGGGGGCTCGAGAGAGCGGTGGTCGCGTATATATACGGTATATCGATTTGGATGATACGTCTATACCTCGTCTACGAGGTAAGATGAGTAGATAAATAGATGAGTAGAGATACAGGGAGAGTAAGTATGTAGGTATAGCTAGGGCCCTATCCTTGGGTATCAAAGACAGGAAACCAGGACGACGTGCCAGGCCACCCCAAGCCAACGAACAGCTCGGACAGATACCGGATTCTATGTGTCCATATACATGTATAACCGAGGTATAGGCGATATATAGTACAAGGGACGAGGTGTGAGGCGTGAGGTAATGAGGTATGTCAATCGCCATGGTCGCTCGCCATGGTTTCACAATCCTTGAACATTTGACTTTTTTTTTTGCCTTGTTTGTTCATTTCGACTCTGTAAATCTATTCTCTATCATTTGTCACTGCTCATTCCCTCAATTCGCCTTTGCCGTCTTCCTTTCCTTTGCTTGCTTTGTTCGCCTCTCCCGTCTTGAAACTCATGACCTTATCACCTACAGACCACCGACCGGGGGAAATCCATCGCCGTGAAACATTCCTTTTGGCTCGCCTTTCGTCGTGCCGAGTTTCTGCCCCCCCCGGTCCCATGATGTTTTCTTCAAACGCCCTCCTTCTCTTCATACTCTATCACCTGCTCCTTTTCCCGCACCGCCATGGTGTCGTGGTGATGGTCGTGGATGGTGCGCGCCGCGAGCGCCGAGTCGCGCACTTCGGGTTTCGCGAAGATCAGGTCGATCTCTTCGAGCGTCTTGCCCGTCGTCTGTGTAGATTGATAACCCGGCGAGGTCAGAAAGAAAACCAAAAAAAAAGAGTAAATTTGTTGTGGGAGACTTGTATCGTGGATAGAAAATAGAATAGACACAGCAGACACAAGACACAGACACAGACACACAAGGTGGGAGGCAAACGGATAGTGCGATAGCGATAAGACACATACCTCGGGACACATAAAGTACACAAACGGCACGGCGACCGCGCACGACAAGAGCATCCAGATCCAAATCTTCCACCCGACATTTTGGAGCGCGATCCCCCCGGCGAAGACGGTGATGAAGCTGAACAGCCACTCGCCGAACGCGCCAGCCGCGCCGCCGAGGTGGCGAAGTTTGAGCGGTGCAATCTGTCACAAAACATCCAGCGAGGCGCCAAGGTCAGTCAATGTCAATTTCGCAAAGGGGTTTTTCCCTCTCTCTCTCTCTCTCTCTCCCGCGGAGATGAGGAGTCAAGGTCCAGCAGACGTGTGACACGTTCCACGACAAAAAAAAAACTCACCTCAGGTCCATACAACCACGGCACGCCGATCCAGCCGTAGCCAAACACGAAGTTGTAGATAATCACAAACGCCACGGCCGTCCACTGCGTCGCCAGGGTCGGATGTGGCAGGCCGATCATGATCACAAACACGAGCATGCAGAATGTCAAGACGACGGCCGACCATATCAGGATGGGGCGGCGGCCGAAGCGTTCGATCGTGAAGGGGAGCGGGTACGTCCCCAGGGCGAAGCCGGTGTTCATCACCGCGGCGAGCAGTTGGGCGAGGAAAGGCGACAGGCCGACTTGGGAGAAGATGACGGTGGAGTAGTAGACGGACAGGTTGATGCCTATTTTGTGCATTTCCTTGGTTAGCAAAGAAGAAAGATAAAAGTCCACTGTGAAATACCGAGAGGGGGAATAAAACAAACCCATCATTTGCTGGATGGACAGGATCAAGAAGGAGATCCTGATCCGGCGACCGGCGCGGATATCGCTTCGATCCCAAAGGAGATCCAGGAGGTTGAATGTATGCTCGTCTTCCTCTTCGAGTTTGATCGAGGCCAAGATCTCGTCACGCATGGCTTGGACAGCGGGATCTTCCAGCGGGCGGTCGTGCAGCCGCATCAAAATGCTGTCGCCTTCTGCGATGCGCCCTTTGGCGTAGTACCATCTGGGGGTGTCGGGCAGGAAGAACATGCCGATGATGGACACCACGGCGAAGAAGGCTTGGAAGGCGATAGGGAACCGCCACGAGACCTGGTTCGTCATCCGTGTGAATCCCAGTGTCACCCAGTACGCCAGGGCGACGCCGGAGATCAACCAGGCGCACTGCACGCCCACCTCGGGTCCTCGTTCTTTAGATGTGATACTCATCTCGGCCACGTAGGTGGGAACGCTGCAAGAGATGAAGCCGATGCCAAACCCGCAAAGAACACGGCCGACGATGATCTGAGCTACCGACCAAGCAGAGGCTTGGATGCTGGCTCCGATAATGACGAGAGCGTCGCCCGCCAGGATACAGCCTCGTCGTCCCAGAGGCATACCGAGCACGGTGACTGCGAGCGAGCATACTGCGGCTGCCAGTGTGTAGGAGGATGCAATCATGGGGATGACATATGTACCCGTGGGATGGCCCATGGCGTCAAGGAAAGGTTCTGTGGTCTGGACGCCGCCGAGGACGCCAGCATCGTAGCCGTACATGCAGAAGGACTGTTTTTTTCTCTAAGCATGAGTCGACGAGTCTCAGGGTGCGAAATACTTACCAGTGAGCAACACAAGCTCATTATCCGGTAGAGGGCTCGACCCTTGACAGATTTGAGGAACATCATGATAGGCGATTGGGAGGAAGAGACTGGAGGACAATGCTGATGCCGTCTGAAGGCGCCTTATGCTCCTGATATCTATATAGAGAGACATGACTTGGCACATCCTGAATCGCTTTGGGTTGGGTGCCAAGTGGTTGCCCCCATCATCACGGCTGGGCAGTCTGTGATTCGTTCGGTATAGGACCGTGTGGAAAACGCTCCCCCATGGTGCCCCCGCATCGTTGCGGGAAATGAAACCCGGGGAAGTCGATTTTCTCTCATCCGAAGACGTGAGATAAAGTCGGCATTTCATGGGTCGACCGCAATTTCCCGATTGCGTATCCATTCCATCGTGACCCAGACCAGGCTGACTAGGTAAGTCAGACCCTTGCAGCTCTGTGTTTCTGGTTTTTTTTTTTCTCTGACGAGTAAAGTGCCATATCTTTGCATCTTTGCCCCAGTCGTAGATCCATTCCCAGACAGTTATAGGTTCAGGGTGGGTAGTATCGAAAATGTACCTCAGGCAGCAGTGGATCGCAGCTCGTGCTCTGCGCAGACTCGAGTCTGCACCCCTGTCCGGCCTTATGAGGTCGCAGGCCCTGAAGCGAAACTCACTCGTCCTCGGTAGAAGCACCATTCACCAGACAACTCGCACCATGGCGACTGAGAACAAAACCAAGCCCGGAGCCTCCAGCGAAGATACCTACCGGACGAGGACCATCCAGGATCTGATGTCCCTGAAGGGCAGGGTCACTGTCGTCACTGGTAAGTGAGGAGTCGAAACTAAATCGTGCCATACCCCTGAACAACCGTAGGAGGCGCACGGGGCATTGGCTTAGCACTGGCCAGAGGTGCTGCCGAGCTGGGAAGCGATGTCGCCGTTCTTGATATCCTCGAAAAGCCATCTGACGCCTTTCTCGACCTCGAAAACCAATTGGGCGTCAAGGCCAAGTACTATCGGTAGGGTTGCCACCTACTGCCAGGGTCTTGCGGCATTCAGCTGACTGGTGTGTTTCCCAGGACGAGCGTCACGGATCCAGAGGGTATGGCGCGGAGTTTCGATGCGGTGGTGAAGGATTTCGGTCGGATCGATAACTGGTTAGGCCGAGTCGTATTTTTATGGCAAGAGCCCTTGCTAACCATGCTTGCAGCGTCACTGCGGCTGGTATCGTCCATGATAAACCATTCCTTGAGACCACTTGGGATGAAGGCCTCAAGATTCTTCAAGTCAATGTGCGTTTGAATCACGTCCACCTCCGAGGACGAAATCGCTGACTTGACTACGGTTCAGGTGCTAGGCACGATGCTTGCCGCTCAACTGGCTGCCAAACAAATGCAAGCCCAGAAAACTGGGGGGAGTATCGTGATGATAGCATCGGTGACTGCTCAGACTGCTCTGCCAACTCAGAGGCTGAATATTTATGGTGCCTCCAAGGGAGCGGTCAGGACTCTCTGCTTGCAGTTGTCAGTGGAGCTTGGCCCTCTGGGAATTCGGGTCAACACAGTATCCCCTGGTTATATCGCCACCGAGATGACAAAAGGGCTGGTCATCACAAACCCTGGGTTGCTGGAAGTCTTCAAATCTGCACCGCCAATGGGACGAATGGGCGATCGAACTGATCTCAAGGGCGCTGTTGGATATCTCCTTAGCGATGCGGCGGCGTATACGACTGGCGCTGATATCCTTGTTACTGGCGCCGTGCATGCCGGTCAGGTGTAGTACGAGATCATAAAGTAGACTCGTCCTAACCAGAGCTTACTCTGCATTACCCATGGTGTATATCTGCCTGTAGCGACAACTCGTCATTCGGCCCAATCTGTAAGTGATAAGGTAGCTTGAAAACAGGGTTGACGTCGGTTGAGCAGTCGTCTCATGGCTCTTCAGGGAGGTAGTGAGGCAGTTCGAGGTTGGAGTAGCCACTCCAAAACAGAGTCTCGAGGGAAAAGTCGTCGTACGAGGTATCGAAAAAGTTGAACGCGGGGTCGGTCTCGCTCAGGTTGAGGCCAACGTCAGAGCTACCTTGGCTTTGAGGTGACTGGTGTGTCGCCATCAGGTCGCTTTCAGCATTGGTGGGCCGCCGTTTCTTTGCCGGTACAAGTCCAGGCTCATGCACGTCACTCCAAGGATTCTGTCGCTTGACGTTCGACTTTGACCTCCGGAGGAGATCACTCTTGATGCCCATGATGACCTCGAGGGCTCTTGAGGCGCTTTTAAAGGCGAGACCTAATTCGCCCAATGCTTGACAGCAAATCTCTAGGTTCTTCCACGCGCTATTGCTTCGAACCGGATCCGTGGCAGCGCAGGCGGTGAAAACGTGGATCAACGTGGCCGTAAAGACGAGATGGACAGCCTGAACATTGATTCTTCTGAGACTATACAGGCGACGATAGGTCTGAATCAGTTTTGCCATGAAGTTGGCCGAGTTCGTGCAGTGGTTGCGGCCAGTCGCAATTTCAGCCGTGGTGAGGCCCGGTAGAGTCTTGACGGAGGCAAAGAACGGGCGGAATGTGATGATCATGATGCTATGGTATTGCATGCTAAGACGAGTTAGCCGTTAAGAACATAGGTGAACGAGCAAGTCTACTCACTGGAGTTGGAGGACGTGCGGAAGGTATAGATCTCGTTTGTCTAGATTGTTGACGGCGAGGCTGGACGGGAGACTCCTTTGCCAACCCAATAGATTATCACGCATTTGGATCGCAAATTGATACAGCTGCCTGGCGTTCATTGGGCCAGTCTTCGCATCGGGATACCTGTTTGGCGTCAGCGATCCTTTCTGTGCCGCTGGAGGACCATCTTACAGCGTCTCCCTGATAGCGGTCATGTGTGCACATAGTTTCACGTTCCAAACCCCAAGCTCGTCAATTGAGTCTGGCAGCCGAGGCAAATCCAATGCCTCACTGTCATCATAAGGGGACCAGTACCTTTGGATGCGACTTGGGTTGGCTTCTTCCGCAGAGAACTGTACCGTTACATGCCTGTCGTCCAGGGCGACAGGCCTACCGACGTACAAACTCCACATCCTAGTTACCAGTCACTCAACTGCCATGGTCAGTAAGGGACTAGACATAAATACCTGTCGTGAACGAAGACGCCACTCCATACCACCTTTCGGATCATCCCCTCTTCACGCGTGATTAGGCCCGCCTGAACGTACGGTTCCGGATCAAGATGAAGACCCAAGTCAACCGCGAGTCTGACAGCCATTCCTATGTGACCGGGTCAGTGTGGACCAGTTTGGGTGTAGTCGAGGCACATCCTACCACTGTCCAACCAGCCACGAGCATCCCTGGTCAGAGACGCCTCGACGGCGCTAAGGATGGCCAGGGATTGAACTGTCGATAGCGTGGGCGCGTCCATTTCAAGCTCCAGAAGCAATTTGGCTCTGGTGGCAAAAAAGTCCGACAGCGGGTCAGGCAAGTGAGGGTAAGTCCTGGTGGTGAGGGTCGCACCAACAGAACACCTAGAGAGGGTTGTCAGTCAGTTTATGACTGCTAGGACACAGGGTAGCAGCAGTCTAGCGACACCACTCACATCGCGTTGGTCAACACCTCCGAGTACAAGGTGCTGACTTGACCTGTGGCTTTACAAATCATTCGCTCGCGCCAATACACGGACTCATCCACCACATGTATCGAAGGCTCCTCCCACGTGAAGTACAGTCGCAAGAGGTGGTCTTCAAGGCTTTCATCAACAAGGTGACCAACACCCGCTCCGTTGAGTAATTCGGCGCCTTGTTCAGAGGGCGAGCGGAATTTTGACCGAGACAAAGACAAGGGTCCATTATGGAGGATGTGTAGGTTGGACGTCGCCCCGTAAAATCGCAATTGGCCATCCTCGGCAATCTGCAACGAGCCCATCCTGCCGGACAGTTGATCTAGCAGAACGTCTTCACTGTGACTAGGAACGGGTGTTTTGAGGTCGGCATTCGAATCCTCGATCTGAGGCACATCCGGAGCGGAATACAAGTAACCATCCTCGAGAGACTTTCCCGGCATGACTAAAGCATCTTGACCCGGGGGGCCGTCTGCGCCTGGACCTAATTTAGTACATTCATTTCATTTATCAAGCACCGGAAAGCCTCACCAAGCCATTCAGAGACGCCGAAATCAGACTGATCGATGCCCGGGGGAATGCTTTGGGGTGGAGAAGCATCGACAGGCCATGATGATGCGGTCTGACTGTTCGCTGGAATGTTTTGAACATGGAGCGGCGGTGGAGGCGGCACATCGATGCCATGCGTAACGAGTAGCGACTCGAGTTGATGGCAGTAGCTCGTCAGGGCTTGTAATCTCTCCTTGGGAGCGATCTTCCGTTTATCCACGCCATGCTGGAAGACACACTCCTGGGCGTAGAGCACGCAGTTTGAGCAGCGCGGACTGATACCGTCGCACTTGATCTTGCGTTTGCGACAGCCAAGGCAGGCGGTGGTTACATGCTTCCCCTGACGTTTTGGGTGTAGATCCGATGAGCTAGTTTGGGACGACATCAGGCACCTTTCTCCGCTGAAGAGGACGATTGGATATCCGGCTGGACGGCATTTGATTCGATCTGTGCCGTTTGCAGTCTTGTCCTGCGCAGGTTAGCGCTCCATCGGGGGGTGAGCAGTTCGTTTTTCTCAGCGTTATCACTGGGTCGGACTAGGTTGGTATGGGAACGAGGTCTTGACAATGAAACTCGAGGGCGGAGAGGAGAGGGTTTTCGGATGCTGGTGGGAAGAAGAGCGGGAGGAATTGATGGTTAGTTTGGTTGTTAGTTGTTGGTTCGATGCGGGCGGGCGCATCCATGACAATTTTTTTGCGGGGAATCCACCCAAACTCCCCATTGTTCGCAGTTTTACTTGGTACCAACCAGCAGCTCCGGAGCCCGTCAGCTAGGATTGAAGGGGGAATAGCCAGAATAGCGACACCCACTCTGAAATCTTCTCCGTGGAATTAGGTACCTAGGTACTTTGGGGGAGGGCTCCACCATCCAATGCAATGTGCAATTCCCGGGGTATAATGGTCAGTATAATATACACTGTGCTGAAAGAGACCAATCCATTCTCATGCTCATGCTCATCGTCATCTTCATTCACTTCGTTCAATGTGCCCAGGAGGCACGCCGTTCACCCGCGCAGCGGTTTGTCCCCCTGTAACGCTCTCTCGGCCCTCAAATATAGATCTACACAAAGATTCTGAATGGCAACCAGTCCGTCATCTTTGCTGATGTTGCTCAAACGATGCAGGATTTGTAACATATATCTCGAGACGCTGAAGTCTGATACCGAACTCTCATCGAGGGGGTTGAAAATGATATGGGCGAGGACAACCACCATGGCTGAGACGATAGATTCCAGCGACAGCCTGCGAATTATTTTTGTCAGAGTCCATATCTTTGCTGGCAAGGGTCGAATGAGACTCACCAGTTGCAAGCAATATCGTCGCCCGGGATCAACCTCAGCAGGTTGATGAATCTCCGGGCGTCTTTGTGCAAAATTTGCGCCTTTTGTTTCGTCATTCCCTCGATTAGTCCTTGGGCGGAGAACGCATTGTTACTTGCTCGAGGCCCCGGTAACATACGGGCCCAGAAGGCGTATGTAGTCGAAAAATAAGTCGACTCGAGGATGACAACGTGGACTAGATCCGATCGATGCAGAGCCGCACGTAGGTGCTCGGCGTCAAGCTCGAAGATCCAGTTACGTCGCCACTCCTCCAGCCGCGAATTGATTGAGCGCAGCTCGGCATCGCCTGCAGGATCCGAGTTCTGCGCGGTATGCAGCAATGCAAGTTGCTCTCCAAATTCGGCCTGGATCAAAGCAAGCTCCACGTGAAGTCGGAGAATATTGACCTTGAATTCGCCATTGGCGGCGGTGATTTCCCCTGCGGCATCTGGCTCGCCGTCCCTTGGTATTTCAACATTGATCAATCTCGGTGGCAGGTTGGGCAGTCTGCCCGCCCTCATATTCATGTCTACTTCCATAAAATAGGCGACCCAGAAAACGCGCTCTTGCTGGGTTCGATCGACCGCATTGATTGGTTCAGTCCCCTTGGGATCGTTGACCCGAAGATCCTGGACAACCCGTAGGGCGAGGGAGACAAATGTCTGGGCTGGAAATGGCCGTGAGGATGTCGATATCACCACGGCTAAGCCAAGAAAACATTGAGCCAGAAGCAACGAGGGCCGGAGTACCAGTAATTCTGGCACCGTGTCGAGCGATTCCTGCAGATAGATTTCGGCATTCTCCGTATCTTGCGGGACCCCCAGTGGACTCATTGCACGGAGGCGGTGTGCGATTCCAAGAACGACCTTGAGTGCCACCCACTCGATCGGCTTGCCGTTGGCTCTTCCGTTGTAACAGTCCTGAAAGAGGGATGTGATCACCGCGGGGTCGAAGAGTGGGAGTGCTGTGTTAAAATCCACCAGGAATTCCTGCAGGAGGAAGAGGCCGCCTTGCACCGGCGGCAGCGAGCATTTCTTCGCCCCATTATAACGGACTTGAGGGCGAAGCTCCTCATCAGTCGTAGCAAGAGCCGGGGCTGGCATGGCAAATTGTGAGTCGGAGTTTGGGCTCCATGCCTGAGTCACATCAGTCCCCAAAAGGTCCATTTCACCGCCAAGTGATTGTGTAACGTCGGCTGTCATCCTTCGCGGTTGGATGGAGCCAAGCGCTTGTAGCAGTGACTGGCCCGGTGACTGCTGGGTGCTGCTGCCTGCTACTTCTGCCAGGAGCGTATCTGCCACGTATGAGGTTTGTTCAGTCGGGGAGGTGGTCGACGGTAGCGATGACGGGGTCAGAACGTCCACTCGTTCAGCGTGACCGTTCTCTGGGAGCCTCGCCGCGACCGACATCTTGATGAGTTCCTCCAGACTCTTGAGGCGCTCCTCGAGGTTCTCCATCTGTTTCCTGCTCTTTTGTTAGAAACGATGAACTCCTACCACAGGAAGATGCAACAACTTTTTCCGCTTTTCCCGCGGCTTCGTGACATGTGTCATCTGGCACACTGATTTGGACTTCTCGCAGGCTGAGCATCTACCACCTGCCGTCTTCAGATCACATTTCCTCTTTTTCAAGCGGCAAAGATCGCAGGCCTGACACAATCTAGGGTCAGGACCCCCTCCAACCAAAATGGTCTGGATTTCTAGAGAAGCCTCACCTGAGCCATGTTGCCCGCTTTGGGAGGTTGCGTAATTGCTTGGGACATGGTGGATGTCCCCTCAAGGGTCAATGAGAACCCGACTGGTCCGGTTCGGAGCCTTACAGGTGTATATAAGCGTCCCAAGCACAACAGCAATAGAGAATATACTGTTCAACAATATCGGAAATGCACATCCGGGGGTGCCTAGCTCGCGAGGAAGAATTAGACTATCGGAGGATGGTGAGGTCTGGAGTCGAGGACGAGCATTTGAAATGTTCGAAAGAGACCCATGACGTTGGGGCTCATCTTGGAAACAGGCCTCCTGATTGTGTGTTTCTGAGTAATCTGATGCAGGTTTGGATTGTCCAGTCCAATCTTCAGCAATTGCCCCAACGGTATTATCGCGCACCGCTGCGAGGTTCAAGCGCCGACATGGCAGCCCTGCTGACAAACCAACATGGTATCCGGAACTGCGGAGGCTAATTTGCTCCGCAACTCCGACGCATCCGTATCAACTCCATCGGAATGTTGTGGCGCCGAGACCGAGTACGATCACCTCGTGGCCTCCTACCTATTTAGGCAGAAACCGCCGAGAGCGCGTACGGCGTACTCGGTGCCTCGTACTTAGTCAGCCTTGCATCACATTTCATAGCCTCGTCGATGTTTACCGAGGCTGATTCTTCTCCATTTACATAATAGCAGATAGTAGCTGGGAAAGTGGCAGAATACAAAGCCATTAAACAATACTACACACACATCTCTATCCTCTCGAACTTTTCAACGGCTGAGGGACCCTTTGCTATGGTATCAAACATGAATTTTCCTATTGTGGATGTGTGGGCAAATCCCATAGCCCTGGTATGTGTCCATCCCGATCCGATCTGTGCCCAGTCCTTCGCGGCTTCTATTGCTTGATTTGCCATATACAGCGAAAGGCTCCTGACATTGGCTACAGGATGGTGTGCCCGAAGCTCAGCGGCTCTTCCAACAAAGTCATGCCGATCCCGACCTCCTGCGACGTCGACCAACGCCCCAGGAATTGGTCGCCATGATGGACTCAGCAGGTGTCTCACAGATCTGTCTGGCATCGTGGCGGCGGCCCGGCAAGGTGGTTTTCTCTAACGACCAAGTCGCCGAGTTCACCAGAGCATATCCTGATCGAATTTTCGGCCTCGCGTCGGTGGACTTGCTGGACCCTGTAAATGCTGTGAAAGAACTCGAGCATTACGTGGTGAAAGAGGGCTTCAAAGGCTTACGCGTCGTGCCATGGTTATGGGGTCTGCCCCCCACGGATGCTCATTACTGGCCGCTGTTTGTCAAGTGTATCGAGCTTGACATTCCCTTCTGTACCCAAGTTGGACATACTGGTCCTTTGTGTCCGAGTGAAACAGGTCGCCCGATCCCCTACATCGACACCATTGCCCTCAAGTTCCCCCAGCTAAAAATCATATGCGGTCACATAGGATATCCTTGGACGGCCGAAATGGTAGCTGTCGCTTGGAAGCATGAGAACGTCTATATCGATACCAGCGCGTATCTCCCCAAGTACTATCCCCCAGAGCTGATCACTTTTGCCAATACGACTGGACGCAAGAAGGTCATGTTCGGGACCAATTTCCCCCAGCTGACTTGGAACGCTTGTGTTAATAGCGTTGAGAAGCATCTGTTGGCAGAAGGAGGCTTTCGGCGCGAAGTGGTTGCTGAATTCATGGGTGGCAATGCGAGGAGGGTATTTAAGCTAGAGGCGCCGGCGATACAGAAAGCAAAAGCCTCGCTTTGAGATCTCTAGCCAAGAAAATTGTCATCGAGAAAAGCGGTTTGGTCGGTAATCTGTCCGACACAGAGTTGGATCTTCAAAATTCCATTCCGTCAGCCCCAGTAACGCCGTCTTCGTCTCGTTCTCTTTTGACGCGGACCATTTCACTCTTGAGCAGGGATTTGACAAATCCATCGAACAATTCGACATAGGACTTGAGACTGGTCTTTTCCCAGTCATTTAGCTTTCTCATGGTCACGCCGTCCTCGACGTATCCATTTGTCTGCGCGTCAGGGGCGTCGTTGTTGCCGAATTGGTCGACTTCGTTGAGCAGTTCGGTGACCTTGGGTACGGAGAGCGGATCAAAGGTTTCGGCGCGACTCATGTCACCACCGGATGTGATGGGTACGCACACTCGTCCCGTGCCAGGGTGCACGACGAAGGGGCTCTTCAGCAAATGGATCCTCTTCTTGCCGACTTCAACGTCTAGTCTCGGATAGGTATACTCTAGGAGAATGTCCTGTTTGGCTTCAACCAAGGCCTTAGTGTCCAAGGTCTTGCTGATACCAGTCTTGGCCAGAGAATCAATGTCTTCCCACTTTCTGATGCTGGGCCGATCTGGGCTGCTTGACCACTTTTTAACCAGGGCTTCGTTCAGTGCTTTGTCCGGAAGCAATTGGAGGAGTCGGTCTTGCCCTTTCTGAGACAGAAAGGGCTCCTGGTCGATCAAGACCTGTTGGAAGTATGGCTTCAAGATCTCAAGGCTTCGGGCAATGTGGGGATGGAGTGGCCGCTTGAGATTCACTCTCTTGCCACCTTGCACACCTCCCTTCAGCACTTCAAAGTATCCAGTGATCGCTTTGCGCTTGTCGTCGTCCAGTTCTCTGGCTTCTTTGTCGCTGATCCAAGCGTGAACGCCTCGACGTCCAGAATAGATCCAGATGATGTGTTCGAAGCCAAAGTCTTCTCTCAGTGCAACATCGACGACTTTTATCGCCATCGTGGCAAATGACCAGCATTTTGCACAAATATTTGCCTTTTCACAGCATGTGCGGATGTCATCATAGTCTGTCAAATCAATGTCGAAAACAATCTCCTTGCTCAATGGTCTGAACATGGAGCTTTTCTTTAGAGTCTTCCGCTCGCTTGGATTCGTAGTATAAACCGGCCCGATCTCGAACCGGGAAGGGATGTGTCGCAAGATGTCCTTGCGCAACAAGTCCGCAGTAGGGTATGACTGGTATCGCAGATACGCGTCATTCGAAAGGGTCAATGCGAACTCTCGATTCGTGAAATCGGGACCCGGCTTGGGGGAGTGGTTGAGCCACTGGAAAAGGGATCGAAAGGGGAAAAGGCGAGCGTAGAACTGTTTCATTATAATAGGATCTGAATATGACTCCTGCTGTGTAGTCACAGCCGCGCCGAGCGAGTCGGGAGCTGAATGCGGCGGAGAGGAAGGCATGTTCGCTTCACTCGAGGATTGCAAAGCACTCGCGATATCGTCGTCGTCATCGTCAAACAAATCTTCCAACGCCACGGGCCCCTCTTCGGAGGGCTTTGCCATGGCATTGTCCTCACTTCCGTTCACAGACGACGAAGTTGGCGCGTCAGGGAGGTGAATGTCCTCATCCTGCGAAGCCGGCTGCTGTGGTGGTGAAGAATCGCCCTCCATTTTGATGCCCATATTGACCACTTGTCGAAAGAAAGTGGACTTTGCACAGGTTGACAATACCTTTGTGGTTACAATATTTCGTCAGATCAGATCAGCGCGTCTGAATGAACATGAAGGCGACGCGTCTACGCGGTCGTGTCACCAATATCCAACCAAGTCACGTGAGCTCGCGTTTCCAACGTGATGTGTAGCATCTCGAAACTAGCCCCGCCGTACGAGACACATGGCCCACGGAACTGCTATTCGTACTGAGACCAGATAGACGGCAATACCGAGTACCGAGTACAATTCAACGCATATACGACATTTATGGAGTGAAAAGTAGGATGTCTCCAGCGTCATAGTATAGAGTATAGTTCCCCCATGAAAATCGATTTCGATCGTCCTAATCTAACCACCCAAAATATCGTCAAGGCCCTCGTGGCACATGCCGGCGTCCCAAAGGGCCGGATATGGCGGAGAAACGAAAAACGAGGTTATTGTACATCAAGGCAAATTCTCCTTCACTTCATTGGCATCTGAAAACGGTCCCGCATCATGCTTGACCAGTTCCGGCCGTAGGGTCGGGCTGCTCACGTTCATGTGTTCGGGATTCCGGGCACGTTTGATGGCGTCCTCGATTGCGGCACTCAAGGTGGCACTGCCGGTATGCCGATGTGTAGGGCCCGGGGACGGACCTCCTTTAGACCCCTCCAAAGGCAAAATAGCGCTCACCGACGATGACCTCGCCGAGTGGTTGGCTGCGAAGGGCTGCTTGGGAATCACCAAGGGTGATATTGGAGACTCGTCGAGGACAGTGAGGGGAGTTGAAGTCGCGGGTGAAGGAACCACTTCCTTTTCATCCACGAAGAACGGAATGCTCTCCTTTGAGCTTGTAGCCGTACTGCTCTTTCGTGAGGCTTCTTTCGCCAGATTTGCCAGTGTAGGTACCCTGGTCGCCGAGCTGGCTTTCTTGACTTCGATAGGTCGCGCAGTGACGTTTCTCGCGACGATAGAGCTGTTGCTACTTCCTAATTTGGGCATTTGTGGGACTTGGGGTATCTGTGGCGTTCTCGCACTTGGGGTTGACGAGTTTCCTGGAGTGTTCGCACCGGACTTAACACTCACAACGTTGGCTTGCGCTCGGAAGGCCTGTTGAGCCGGTATAGGTGGAACAACAGCATCACTACGGTAAATCGTCGTCGCCACGCTTGCTCGAGCCAAGCTCGGGGCAAGGCTTATTCGCGGGTCGATGGAAGAAGTGTCGGACCAGGTAGAATCTCTCAAATCTTTCGGCATGAAGAAATGCTGCTCCAGCTGGGGTGACCCGTTGGCAGAGTTGGAGGCAATGCCT